TGAGTTCATATGCTCGATTGAACTCGATCTGCTCCGGTCTCAGAGCCTTTTCCGGTATCCTGTACGACATCATTCGTGGATATATCCTAATGCTGTCCCATATCCCCGTGTAGATGTTGCTGTAGGCTTTTTATAAGTTAATATATGGTCTGTTTGCCTAGGGGAAAACCAAGATTATTAACATTTCTGAAAACCCTAAGCTTACCACATACCAGTAATCATTCGGAGGGATTTGTACCAGAATATACATTGGCAGCCTTTCCTATGAAGCTTGAGTTGGAACAAGCAAGGATCCTGTCCGATCAAGATGTGAATTCAAGTGTGAGGCGAATCCAAAGGTCTGACTTTCATGACCCTAGTCGATAGATACACGCCTCCAAGAAATTGTAGTCACCCAAGTGCCTACAGAAATGAGCACTCCTTCCACTGGCGAGGTAACCAAAGTGAACAAATTTTTTTGACGTCCATGCTGTTTCGACAGGCCCTACTCATCTCGTATGCGTGAGCATTGTTAGGCTATGATATATGGCGAAAATGATTGGTCCGGAACCGTCAATGTGGTACCGTTTGCCAAAATGATCTGTTCTAGCTCTAATGATGATGTTGACGAAAGTCTGATACATCCAGCATTCATTAAAAAAGCTTGAAAAGGCCAAGAAACTTGCCTACTAATAATCTGCTTCTGTTTTTGTACACTTTTGTGATCAAGAAGCCTATGAGTTCACTTTCTTTATTTTTAGGAAATATTCGATATCACGATCACAAAAGAGTTATTTTCAACATCCTAAATTTTCTCAAATTTTGCCATTGAAAGCCAATACACATTGACTATATGAACTGAGATGTATTCACCAAATTTAGTTTAAGGTGATGAAGGACTGGTAGAAGAAGAATTTTCCCACAATGAGATGAGTTGAGCTGACGTTTCCATTGCATTTCACATAGCCTTGCTTTCCCAAAAGTTGTTCTCATCCAGGTTAGTCTGGTAGTCTCGAAACTCTAGTCAAATACGAAAAATAAGTAGTGTAGTCGATTGTTATAGCAAGGCTATGTTAAGTTCAATGGAAACATCAGCTCAACTCATATCTTTGTGGGAAAATTCTTCTTCTACCAGTCCTTCATCACCTTACACGAAAGTGGGTGAATACATCTCATACTACTGATTTACTGGTAGTCACGAAAACAATACCTTATTCGAAAAATATATGAACTGAGTTGGCAAGAATGCTCGAGTTTGCTGCTGCATGAGTGAATTTGCGTAAATTTTGCAGGTGAGCTTTACGGGCCAAGTCGGGCAGAGTCTCGTTCTGATGGCCTCGGGCATGTTTCCCACCTCGGTCTGACGTGTAAGTTGCTGCTTCGAGAGTTTCTAGTTTCTAGAGCGCCCTAAAAGGTTCATAGATTTGCACATTTTTGTACTTTTAGATATGAAGACCAAGATAGTGTGGCTTCTATTTTGATCATAGTCTCGCTTTTATGTTTACAAGTAGTTGTACCTCGTTTTAACCAATCGGTCGTGTTGATAAAGTGTTCTCGGAGAGTATACTTTGTCCGGTTTCCTCTGCTATTATACTCGAAACTTGCAGCAAAAATTGTATCTGGTACATTCCAAAACAAAAGCTTCAGTAAGCCTTTCCATTTGTAGCATATGGCCGCAACTTGTCAAAGAGATCAGTGACCAAATTTCTACCAAATGGATGTGGTATATACCCCTCCTTCCCATATTCTCGTACATCACTTCATCTATATCATTTAATCTATCTTTTTATTCTCAATTCCTTCCAAAATACTATATTATAGGGGGTTTAGTAGGACCAAATCTTATTCCCTACAGGTTTACTCTTCGATTATTTTTGTTGCGCAACAGTCTGTAGACTACTTCATCCAACTTCTACAGGATGCTCTTTCGCGGCCTCGATGAGCTGTTTCTTTTACTCAAACGCATAAAGACCAAGAGGTTGTGGTCTTTATTAGGGTCGCAGTCTCCTTGGCAACGTTTTCACAACCTGGTCATATGGTCGGGGTGATCTCATTGAACACATCTTGTCCGGAGTCCATGCTATCCATGATTATTTCCAGCGTTGAATCTTGGACTTTGTACATTCTAAGTCGTATCGTAGTCGGCATCGTCATTGAGCCTTGCCATTCTTAGCACCACACTACAATTCGTGTCTGTGATCCGCGATCAGATGCTGGAAATTATCCTAGCTACTATAGACTCTGGACAAGTTGCTTTCCTCTATGTCGTCATGGTAATAAAATCAAGTTGCGAAAGCGAGGTTAAAACACTACGAAATCTCTGTTGACTCGCTATATTGAAATTACATTTGTTGATTTACATAATGATGCCAAATTATATAGTCCTATTTGAAAGATATCGATTTAGTAATAATTTCTATTAGTCTTTTAGAATAAAGTATACTAAAAACAAATTAAAATTTTTACTCAGTGTATAATTTTAAAATAAGATTGCATGCTTTTTTGCTAATCTGTAAGTCAAATTATGTAACTTTATTACACTAAAACAATAGAAGTTTGTTCATCAGGGAGGCCTAGTAGAACGCATCTTTACCGGATTCCATTGTATCCATGATAATTTCCAGTCGGACCGTGGTATTGGCATACTTTAGGACATTTTGCCGGAATCGTAGTCGGCATCGCAAGTGAGTCTTGCAATTCTTAACGTCACAAATCGTCCTTTTTGTCCGGCTATACTCGGTGCACAGGGCTCTCTGATATTGCGGCCTCGTTGCAAAAAAACGTCCAAACAACTACAATAACACCAAAGGAGACCTCGACCATATTAAGAGTAACAGAATTTTGGTCTTTATATGCTTGATTAGACTATGTAAGTAAGATTGCCTAAACGATATAACGATTACCGCCGAAAAAGGAAGACCATTTATTGTGCAAATAATGTCAAGGATTATTGATGAGACCGACTACGATGACGACGAAACGTCTGGCAATGTACCAAGTTCACGGTTCAACGCCGGAAATTGTCATGCACACTTTGCATTGTGGACAAGGTGCGTTCCTCCACGTCTTAATGACAATACTACCAATTTGCGAAAACAAGGTCAAAAAACTTATTTTTTGTTTATAAGTATGGGATCTATTCATCCTGTTTCGTTTGAGAAGATAAAGGTACTGGTAATTGAATTTTACCACAATGATATGAGTAGACATAACGTCTCCATTCAATTTCACATAGCCTTGCTTTCCTCGAAGTTGTTACCATTCAAGGTGGACTAAAGTTACGACT